CAGAATCTGGTATAGATTTCCAGATGAAGTAGTTTTATGGTGCAGTATTTCAACTTTATTTTTAAACCTTGTATTTGGGTATCAGTGTAGATTAACACATTATGTAGTGTAAGTTAGGAAAATGGGATGTATAAAATGAAAATTAGTACATGTGCTCAAGTGTTTAAGTTGGGCGTTGAATATATGAAAGTTAAAACTGTACCCAAATCCATGCATATTAAAAATTAATACAAAATTTACCATATTAGATTATGAGCTTTAATGTTTGGTGGGCATTTTCTGATTTCTTCATCTTACTGTTGGAACTCTACAAACCTGATAAATAACATGGACTCGAAGTATTGTAGACAATGTCAATTATGGCTCTCAAACTGGACTTTGGGGCCAAAACTATAAAGTGGTTATCTGTAGTATTTCCTCTCTTAATAGTTTTTCTTTAATTTGAAGAAAATTTTATTTGTATTTTTTTTCGGGGCGGGGTGGGGGTTTACACCACAGGTCTCACTTTTTATTTTATATTGGTTTGCTTACAAAATGCATACACATTTTATTTCACACATTGAAAACGTGATCCATGGGACAGGAACAGATCATGACATAATTTTACACTTAATATGGTAGCATGTCCTTCATTGTGGCTTGGTGTGAAGCTAATGAACCTAGGTTTGTGTGCTGCCATTATGTGTGTGGCTCCGTAAGAGACCTAGCTTTGTTCTTTTCCAATGTCTCCTCTGGGAGCTGTACCTGATGTTTACTGCCAGTTTTTGTTCAAATCCATTGAGGAATGGGATGGTTCTACTTTTTTTTCCTTGGCCAGGAACTTCAAAGACACAGTTAAGACAAAAACAATGCCACATGAAACATTATGGAACTTTGAATGTTTGCTAGTTTCAATTTGTATTTTTTAAAATGAAAGTTTTTCTCCCCTTCTGTTAACCCAGATCTCATTGGGTTAGTTTTGTTCTTTTCTTGGACTTGGGCCAAGAGGCCTTGGTTTTAGTATATAATCTTAACAGGAAAGATGTATCCTAATTTTCTTCTAGTATTATGGTTTATAAAGTGTGATGAGTAGATGGTAATTTAATATTTTCACCAATATATGAGGATGCTTGTGAGGCAAAAGCCACCATGTCATGGACTTTTCCCCTGCCCTCAGTAGGTGGCTGATAACATAACTGCTTTTTTGCTTTATCTTAAAAAGTATTTGAAAGTCAGTTGGGCCTGAGGGTCTGGTGGTCAGTTTGGAAAAACATTCTACGTTCTATAGCATTTGTCTAGCAATATGCTACACTGAGGTAATCTGGTTTTGCTGTGATGCTGAACTTGGTGCCATTGAGTCAAATGCTTAACAGCTGCCCATGGTGGACATACTAGTATGGTGGCGCTCTCAGTTTGACAGGTTTGGAAGCAGGAGTGGCAATCCACTTTGCTAAACCACATGCCTATGGAAACTGAACTTGGAGAGACGATAATTATAGAGAAAACCTTCAGGCATTAGGAGTTTTGCTTGACTTGATGGCAGTAACATCGTTTACTACAAACCACCTTCATATTTTGGGAGAAACTTGTGCTTAAAAGATTCTTAATAGTGCCGCATGCAGTATATAGGATTTGGTGGAAGTTGTGCTGGCAACAGTTATTTCAGGTATTTGGGAGAAAGATTGGCAAATTCTTCATGTGATTATAACCTACCAGCTGGTTCATTGATGGCATGCAACAGTACTGGTTCGTTCTTTTGGGGTTTTTGTCCTGTGAAGGATAAGCCAGTCATGTAGGTTAAAGGCCAGGTGAGGGTGGTTGGTAGCATAGAAGGGTTTTTTGGTTTTTTTTTTTTATTTAATGAAAATTTTTTTCTGTATTTTATTAATTTTCATAATAAACATTTACAGAGATTTTGGGTTTCCATTCATTCATTGTTGCACTCATAGAAGGGTTTTTAAGCTGTCAGATCTGCCCAGAAAACCTTTGGGATGGGCAATTGGCGGGTTTCCTGAGTAGTGTACCATTCAGATGGATGGTCATTTGATGGGTGTGTTGGGTAGTACCAGATTAACCTGGTTTGGTTGATAAAGGTCACTCATTACTCAAGGCCATTATGAGTTCTGCCAACCCAAGTAATGCCATGCGACTGAGGGTTTGAATTTGAAAGCTGAGATTGAGGTGGACAATTTTCAATATGATTTGACAGCCTCAAAAACCTCCAGTGACAGCTGATTGTCACCTGTAGTTGCTCCTAGATTGTTTAGGAAAGGTTAATAGTGGACTGTAGGTTTCCTATTGAGAATAGGTGGTGGTCCATGCCAGTTTTGAGGAAGGAGGCACTTCTAAAGTTCCTGGGACCATAGTATGGGGCAGCTGTTATGAGCTGATAGTGCAGGTTTCGTAGAGGAGGACCTGGGCTCTTGTCTAGGAAATTACTATGCGAGGAAGAGGTTAAAGTGGCAGGTAATATGAAAACCAACAGGGGCAAAGGATATAGGTGTCAGGGAAGCAGGAAAAGACCTGTGGGGATAAGGAAGCCCTCTTCCTTTATATATGACCTAAATAAGATGTGGCTAACTCTTAAGAATGAGAATTCCAGAACAGTCAGTTGTGTTCAGGAGGCAGGCATCAAAACAGCAAGGAAACATCACATGGTTCAAAGTCAGGAAAGTGTATGCCAGGGATGCATCCTATCTCCATTCCTTGGCTATCTATAAGTTGAACAGATTATTCAGGAGGCTGGGCTGTATGAGTAATGTGGCATCAGGATAGGAGGAAGACAACCTGCTTTATGAAGATGACACCTTGCCGAAACTGAGAAGCACCTGAAGTATTGACTGCAGAAGGTCAAGGAGTGCAGCCTTCACAGTATTAGGAAAACAATTATCATTGGGCTGATTGGTGGCATGATAGACCATGAAGAAATTTGAGATTGTTAACTGTTTGCTCGGCTTCCCAAGCAACACTCTTTGGCACCAGCAGGCAGGAAATCAAGATGAAGTGCATTGGGAAAATCGAGTCGGGGACATCTCCAGAGTACTGAAGAGCAATTATGTCAATCTGAAGACTAAGGTTTGCCTGATCCAGGGGCTGGTCCTCACTACTGCTATGCATCACAAAGCTGGACAATGACTAAGGATGACAAGAACTGATGCTGACAAAAATGGAATATAGCTAGGAGTGCAAACTGGTTTGTCCTAGAGAGTGAAATAAGGCTACTCTCAAGAGGCATGGATTTTGTAGCTCTGACATAGTTTGGGCATGCTGCAATGATGGAGGCTTGGAAGGGTGGAGGGACAGCACAATAGAGGAAGACCCTGGCTGAGGGGTTTATTTAGTGACTGGGATAATGGTGCTACATGTCTCAGAGACAATGCGGCTGGCTTAAGATAGAGCTGGGTTCAGAGCTGGTATACATAGAGTTGACTCAGTGCACATAAGAATAAATGCCTTAGGACTGCCAAAAAAACTATCTTGTGAGAAGTGCAACCAGGGTGCTCTTTAGAAGTAAGGATGTATAACTTCCTTTTACATACTTTCATCAGGAAGAGTCAGTCCTTTCAAAAAGAAAACATTGTGGGAGTACTAGAGGGTCAGTGAAAAAGAATAATGTAATTTTGAGTGACTAACGTTAAGAATGGCGAAGCGCTAGGGTAGCTATGATGGCACCCAACAATAGCCCGAAGCCTATGTTAGGGCATCATGGAAACCCCATCTGTAGGAAGGCTGCTCGAGGTACTAGGCTAATGAAACATTACTTTTTTGCATAAATCAGATTTTCTCTTAACCTAGGTGACAGATCTATAGTTAGGAGGTAGTATAATGCTTCTAACAGATTCTCAGATTACTCAAAGACGATTTTATTATAGTACATAGGATGGGATCACAAGGAATAGGTGTAGGGGGCAACCATTGCACTGGTTAGCATCGGATGCCCATCCCTATGGCCATGAATGTGCCAAAAGTGCCGCCACTCTGCATCATGGTTTTCCCAATGCCGCCCATCAGCTCTCGACCCCGCATTCCGATCCTGTGAGAAGAAAATCAAGATAGGGTCAACTAATTTACAATCTGGGAAAATGGGAATAAACAATCTCAATGTGAAAAACGTCCTTCGGAGTAGTGTTTGTTTCATGTCTACAAGCCAGTTTACATGATAACACGTTGCAACACAAATTTGTTTCATTACTTCCAACCTGAAATGAAAATAACGGCAGCAACACTGGTGAGAATTATTAAGCGTTGAATATATGCTACATTCGGTGCTATGTGCGCTTTGATATGAGCCTTAGAATGAAGAGGTTCCTGTGCCTGGATTCTACCCTGGGCGAAGTTTAGCCACTTAACAGCTGCCTAAGGTTAAAGAACGCACTTTTACACACCGTAGCTTTGAACATATCTCTCCTGTCTTGAAAGTGACAAGAACATTAATCTCGTTAAGTGTTCAAAAACTAAAGCACTGGATTTTGGCTCCGGAGTGGAGTGGGGCAGGAGATCTGGTAGTCCCGCCCACAGTTTACCGCCAGCAACCCCTCACCTGAGACAGGAAAAGGTGCCAAAGAGCGCCCCGGCCGCCATTCCCACTGCGCAACCCATCACGAAGCCCATCTTCACGCGGTCGAAGCAGCTTGGCTGCGACTGCCCGTAAGGACCCACGGCCACCGGCATCTACAGGGTGTGGGGGATATGGAAATGCGGGCCCGGACTCCAGCTTGGGAGTCAGGAGGAGGACGAAGGAGCGGGAGAGGGAGTGGACTCGAGGGTTCAGGGAAGCTTTGGAAGGCGAAGGATCTCGTTGCCAGACTTCACTACCCGTTTCGCGTTCCGAACCCCGCGCCGCGATGCCCCCACCTCACCTCGTTCGCGCCTTCGGTCGCTCAGCTATACGTCTCACACAGTAAATGGAGCGTAGTTCTCTTGCGACCCGTGGAATTGCTTCCGGGGCGTGAGGTTACACTTCCGGGATCCTGAAGTTGAAGCTTCATAGTGTTCGGGCCTTCGCTTTAGTCGTTTAGACTATGCTGGTGCGGATTGCTTGGAGGCGGGCGACTCTGGCCTTGAGTGCGGCTCCCGCGTCGAAGCCCGGGACGCCCTTCCGGGGGCTGTGCGCGCGCGGTACGCTCCTGGTCCTGGTGACGGCTACCCGCGGGAGATACAGGGGCTTGTCCCCATGGCCACGGATACGCACCTGACCATACCCGAGCCTCCCTGACCCGCTCCCCCTTCTCCACCCTCTGACTGTATCCAGCTTTCCCATGCTAGCCCTCCCTCTTCGGTGCAGTTCCTCATATTCTGACTCTCAGTCCCTCAGAACCTTCGAGGCTCCACTTTGAAGTCCTTCTCGACAACTTTCAGTGATCGTAGTCAGGCTCCCATCCCTCAAGTAACCTTTCAAGGAGCTCTTTGCTCCGTCTCCACATTCCTTTGGAATGTCTTATTCCAAGGATATCACTCAAGACACCATGTCCCCCTTTTGCTTATCGCATGCTCAGGTTTTCTCTGATGTTTTGTCTCCTTTCCCTTTGAGATCTGACCCCAACATCTCTTAAACTAACCGTTTGACTTACATTCAGTTTTTACCTTTTCCTGTCATGGTCACATGCCCTTTCATCTCTCCCTTTGTCCATCTTTGTCAGTTGTAGATCATGGCCCCCAGGCGGCAGATAGGGACACTCGCTCGACTCCCGAGGCGGAGTCAGTGCTACGACCGCTCTACATGGATGTGCAAGCCACAACTCCTCTGGTAAGGCAGTTTTCTCCGGGGTTCGATATAGGAATTAAGTGACTGTGAACAGAAATGCCTTGGTTATTTACAAGTTAGAGCCCCGGGGGAAAACGACAAGACAGGAGTCAGAAGATTTACGTTCTAATTCTCTACAGATGGCTATGCTACTTGTTATTGATGTTGGCCAGTTCACTTGCGTGCAGGCATGTTAAAAGTTGTTATGTACCAATGAGTTGGGACAGACTCAAAACTGACTCTGAAAAAAAAAAACCAAAAAACTGACTCTCCAGCGGGTTTTCAGAGGTAGTATATATCGCCTGGGAGGAGATTCCTATCCTTCCGCAGAAAACTGTATCTAAAAGGGAAAACAAAGCTCTACCATGTGCCAGACTGGCACTTAGTAGCTTTGTGGACTTGGGCAAGTTAAAGGTGGGTTAAAAGTTGTAAAGCTTTTAAAAAAGGGCCTGACAGAAGATGAGCACTTAAATATTAATGTAGCGTTTACCAGGGGATGGGCTTTGTTAGAAGGGCTATTGTCCTGGGCTAATCATGTCTCAACCCTTCATAGATCACTTTGGATGGCAGAAATGGTAGTGATGTCACTCAGTGCTGTTTCTCATAGTGGCCCCTTCCTCCATGGACCTCTTCCCTTACCACATCATAATAGAATCCTTAGAAAAGTTTATTAATTTTAATAATAATATAATATTAATTTTAATAAGATAGTATTTAATAATTATACTTGTAAATTGTCGAAATATATTTTTGAGATTATGTGAATGTTAACAAAATTGTTTTGTAATTTTTTTTCTTCATTGAATTGCAACATTAGTAACTGAGCAGAAGCCTTTTTCATTTTTTCTCCTTTTCTTTTAATACTACTGCAATCTTAAAAATATTATTGATAAAGAGGGAGCTCTGGTGGCCTAGTGGCAAGAAGCTGTGCGGCAATCCTGAAGGCATGTCGTTCAAATCCAGCAGACGCTCAGCTGGAGAAGGATGGCAAGCTCCTCCTGTGCCAGTCAGATCCGATTTGGTACACAACAGAGTTAAAAAAGCTGATAAAGGTTCACAAATACTACTTGCCACAGCATTGTGGCTATTTGTAATGTTTCACAAAATCAGCAAGTGTAAAAATACTTAACATCAAAACCACGTAATTGGGTAAAAATGAGAGTTCTGACCAGAATGCATTGGAAAGAATTTTTTTAAATTAGAATTGTGTATCTATCTTATATCACTAGGATGGTGACCTAGCAATAAGATTCTGGGCTGCAGTCTCAAAGGTACAAGGTTTGAATCCATCAAATGTTCTGCAGGAGAAAGATAACTATTCTCTTCCTGTGGTATTTACTGCCTCTGAAAATCTGCTAGAGGGTCAGGATTGTTTCCAACTTGACAGCAGCAATAACCACATCTTCCTTATAGATACATCAATACATGTAAGCTGGGCTTCAGGAAAATATTTTTGTTTTAAAATAAATAAATTTCTACTGCACATTGCACAAGAATTTTTTTTCCACAATAATTTGCATTCATTTTGGTGTCACTCCCTGTGATATTGTCATTTAAGGCAGTCCACACTCCCTGTACCCTTTGAGTAATGCAACCAAGGAATGGTAACACTTGTAGAAACAGCTGTCAGAACAATACAGGCATACGGGGACATACTATGTTTGAATACAGACCACCACAATAAAGTGAGGTAGATGATTTCTTTGTTTCTCAGTGCATAGAAAAGGAGTGTTTACACTATCCTGTAGTCACGTAAGTGTGCAATAATGTTATGGAAATGTTTGAAATGTAAGAATTATAAAATATGACATGAAGTGAGTGGCATGAAGTAAGTACATGCTATAGGAAAAATGGTACCAATAGACTTGGTCAACACAGGCTTGCCACAAAGCTTGATTTTGTAAAAGATGCAGTATTTGGAAAACATAACAAGCAAAGCGTGCCTGTATTTGTGGACTGAATGTTGGAATGACGTTGTTGTTGTGTTCCTTCAAATAGAAATCAACCCTTAGCTGACCCTCCAGTGAGTTTTCAGAGGTGGTAAGTTACAAGGGAAGAAATTGCCCATCTTTCTCCTGCAGAGCCCCTGGTGGATTCACACCACATACTTTTACGTCTGCAGCACAAGTCCTTACCATTAAGCTATCAGAGCTCCCTGATGGGATGATAGAACAATATAATTTTAGATTTATTGTAGTTGAGAATATATCAGACTGCTATTTGTTTAGCTGTTATCTAAAAGATTGGGCTTATGTTGAGGCCTATGGGGCAAATCTGAAAAAATGGAATAAGGCTCGAATTGTGTATGGGCTGGGGAAAACTGATGTATTCTTTTATGTTCAGGACCCCCGGGTGCTTGATGCCATGCTCCCTTACTTAGTCAACTATTATGGGAACCCACACTCCCGGACACATGCTTATGGCTGGGAGAGTGAGGCAGCCATGGAACAAGCTCGACAGGTTAGTACAGAGGAGTCTTATTCCAGGGTCACGTGTTTAGTGTTCTGTAGGTCTCCGTGGATGTGGGTAGAGATGGAGGTGTTTTGGGGCTCTTCTGGGTTTTGAGAATAGGCATTTCCTAATTGGTTAATCTCTGGTCAGGTACCTGCTTTCTCTAAGCTTCAGTTTCTCAGAACACTTAAAATGGGATTGATGCAGGGTTTCTTCCTTGGGCAGTGAGCTCTTTTTTGCTCCAGAGCTCTGTCTCAGCTGTGCTCACACTAGGTTCCTACCTGGGTAACTGATACTAGATGTCTGTTTCTTGGCTTGCAGCAAGTAGCATCTCTGATTGGGGCTGACCCTCGTGAGATTATTTTCACTAGTGGTGCTACTGAATCCAACAACATAGCGATTAAGGTAAGAGAGGAAATATGTAAAATGCATATAATAACATAATACTTGCCTCAGGATAGGAAGTTTAGGTTTGTTTCCAGAGTTATTAGTCCTCTGCCTGATTCTGTTAAGCCATCAGATGACCTTCCTTCAAACTGCAGAGACCATGGAGCCAGAGATCAAATCTCTCCAAAGATGGGAATGGTTGCTGGAATGCAAAGCCTTTTCAAAACGTTGATACTCTTTCTTTTGAGAATCTCTAGAGAACCAAAATGTAGAGATCTAGTGCAGCTCTGATGATGTTCTCCTTAATTCCATAGATGGATAAGGTGAAGAAATAATCTGCTATTAAAGGATTCTGCTCTGTGGATAACACATAGGAAAGACAGAAAAAAACATTACTTATTTAGATACTTGTACCTTTCCTCCACACTTTTTTTTATTTTATTGATAATAATGTATGAAATTAGATAGCAAGAGAAAAATAAATTTTTGTGTTTTTCTTTTTCTGTCCTTATCCTTGTGAAAAGGAACTCTGGTGGCATACATAGTCTATAGAAAGTTGCTCTGCTATCCCAGAGGCAGCACCATGGCAGAAAGATGGGCAATCTTCTGCACAATTCACAGCCTCCAAAAACCTTCTACCGAGTCAGTTCTGACACTCTAGCAATAAGTTGGGTTTGTTTATCGTCATAAATGTTTAGTCCCTACGTAATCATCAGAGAACTGTAGTGTTCTTGTATATTACATGTACTGCTAAACAAAAGATAACACTGAATCCATCAAGTGCTCCGGAAAGAGAAAAATGGTTAGTTTCCTTCTTTTTTTTTTTAAAAAAAATTATTGTATTATTTTTACGTGTACCGTCAAATCAGACCTGACTGGTACAGGAGGAGATTGCCCCCTCCTTCTCCAGCACAGCATCTGGTGGATTTGAACCGCGTACCTCTGGGATTGCAGTGCAGTTGTCTTGCCACTAGGCCACCAGAGCTCCCTAAGGTAGTTTTCTTCTATAAAGATTAATTAACTTTGGAAACCCAATAAAGGGTTGCCATGATCTAAGAGCATTACCTTTTGTTTTGGTTATGTGGACATAATTTTGGCTTAACTGATATTCTGTTCTTAAATATAGTATTCTGTTAAAGCTCTAGACAATGGTGAACATTTTATTTCTATTTTAATCTTTGTAATTTTTAAAAAATAACTCAGTGTACATATTGTGAGAATTTTTTACTCTATAATAATGTTAAAATTATAAGTGTAAGTCTTCCACTCCTTTCTCCCATTTTTGACCTTAATCCTACTATACAAAATTAATTTTGTTAAGTTTCTTTATTTTATTGTATAGTTCCAGAAAAAAGTTTATTTATATATATATACACACACACATATACATATACATTTCTTTTAATGCTTTTATAATTGTACTCTCCTGTGTCTTCCTTTTCCTCATTAATAATAAAATGTTATTAATGTAGTCTTCCATTTTAAACTTCGTAATTTTTTACATTTTTATTTTATATTGGCTTGCTTACAAAGCACAAGCTTTGTGTTTAATTATTATGAAACATTGTGTTTCATTTTATTCTTCATTCATACTGTGTTTCATAAAATCATTCCCATTAATTATGTTTTATAAAATTAATCACCATTGGACTATGCTCTCTATTACCCTCTCTTTTCAGGTACCCACTGGATTGTTCTTATTTTCTTCACCCCCCTCCCTCTAGCCACCAGATTGTGCAATTCTGTGATTTTGCCCCTACCCATCCTCACCCCTCTGCTCCTACCCCTTTACCCCCTTGGATCCTCATACATTTCTTTATTAACTATCCTCCTATTTTTATAATGGTCTTATGCATTATTTATCCTTAACAGACTGAGTTAGTTCACTCAGCATAATGTTCTCCAGTCTGCAAAGTTATGTGGTATTTTTGAAATCGCTGTTCCAGAGCCATAAGCAATAAATGTTGGAGAGGATGTGGAGAGGTAGGAACTCTCATACACCATTGGTGGGATTGTTAAATGATACAACCACTCTGGAAGGCAATTTGATATTTCTTAAAAAAATTGAATATAGAAATTCCTTGTGACCCAGCTATTCCACTACTAGGAATATACCCCAGTGAAATTAGAACTGAGACATTAATGGAGATATGTACATCAATGTTCATAGCAGTGTTCTTCACCATTACAAGAAACAGCACTAATGTCCATCCACAACTGATTGGATTGAGAAATTGTGGTACATTTCCATACATATTCCATAGACATGGAATACTTTGCAGTACTCAGGAGCAATGATTTGGAAAGATAAACTTCATAATTTTTAATATAACTATATTCTTTCTTATGAAACTGTGTTACCACAATTTAGTTTTTATTTATTGTTGAGAATGTTAGTAATTTCATTTTTTTAGTATTATAACTACACCATATTTTGTCTCTAATTTCAATCTGTCTTTTGAGACACCTTCCTAAGCCAAATTTAAAAAGGCATCAGAGACAAAGCTTATCAATAGAGTTTCTAAAATATCTTTTTAAAATTTTTTAAGCTGTGCTGCAATCCCTAAGGCATGTGGTTCGAATCTACCAGATGCCCCACTGGAGAAGGAGGAGCATTCTCCTCCTGTGCCAGCTGAATCTGATTCGACAGTACACAATAAGAAAAAACAAAACAAAAAAATTATCTAAAAAGATTATAAATACTACCTTCAGAAAGGAATAAATGTATGAGTTTCACTTCTTTTTATTATTTTTGTGTGAGTGTACCGTCAAATCAGGTCTGACTGGTACAGGAGGAGATTGTCCCTCCTTCCCTGGCAGAGCATCTGGTGGATTCAAACCGTGCACCTCTGGGATTGTAGTTGCAGCTCCTTGCCACTAGGCCACCAGAGCTCCCCCATGAGTTTCACTTCTATACTTCCAGATTGTGTCTGAATATTACCTAGTAGACATGATTGTTATTTAAATAGATATAATAGACATATTCTAGCATCAAAGGACAGACATTTCCTAATTTTTTACTTTGATATCTTTTCCTTTCAGAAATGAGATCAGAGTCATTGTTCCCTCTCTGAGTGTGTTTCTTCCTTTCACCACCACCAATTTCTAGGGGGTGGCTAGGTTCTACAAGTCACGGAAAAAGCACTTGATCACCACCCAGACTGAACACAAATGTGTCTTGGACTCCTGTCGCTCACTGGAAGCTGAAGGCTTTCAGGTCACCTACCTACCAGTGCAGAAGAGTGGGATCATCGACTTAAAGGTAGGGATGACTTTTGTCAAAAGGGGATAAAATAGGAGCTCAGTTTCATTCTATCAGTCTCTTTTTCCTCAGTTTGAGATTAAAGGAATAGATCTAATGGTTCAGGTAGGATTTGAGAGAAATACGCCTATCAAAAAAAATGAGCATTTGCTCTGGTTGAATATACATCAGGAGAGAAAATATAGGTATTTCTCTTGAGTACTTGTTTCTCAGCTTTGTTGGGTTTTTTTGTTGGCATGAGAGTTTCAGGGCGGATGTGTAGTATGCCAAGGACTTACTGTCACTCTTGCAAAACTCTTTTACTTATGTTTCAAAACCCTTTAAAGAAGGACTGTGGTTTGCTTAAACAGTACTTCTCTTTTTGGCACATTTCTTTATTACTCATTTTCAGAAGTGAAGTCAGATTTTGGATACTTGCATCTCTAGATAAATCCTAACGTGTGCTTTATAGACAGTTTTCTACTTCAAACTGTTTTTTCTCATTCTTTGTTTCTTTCCACTTTCTTCTTGCTCAGTTGGAGCTTGTTGATGGCCATTTCTTTCCATTGTCTTTGGAATGACTCTTTTTTTCATTCCCTTTTTGTACTGCATCCTAGATCTTAGCTACCTTGTGACTAAAGCTCTTTTGCTTGAAATTTAACCACCACCCTCCAGTGTTTTTCCCCCCCTCTCTATTTTATTTCTTTAATACTGGTTTTCATACAAAATTATTACAATGTGTAGATCATTCATGTACATTGCATTTCACACCTTCCTGCATTCACATTGTGTTTTAAAAGATTATTCATGTTTATGGCATTTTATAAAATTAACCTCTCCAGTTTGTTTTGCAGACTATTATCAGACTTGACTTTTGTTTTTTAAATTTTTTTTATTATTAATTTCAATGAAAATGTACAGAGACTTTGGATTTCCATTCATTCATTGTTGCACTTTTCTCCCTGTCCACCCTTCACCCCAGTATACTCCCTGTTCTTTACTATTTTGTCTATTCTGCAGAGCATACTTTGACAACCATAGCTAGAAAATACTCCCTCTTTTGTGTGTGTGTGTGTGTGTGTGTGTGTGT